AAAAAAAACAAAAAACTTTTTTTTAAAAGAGATAAGAAACTGGACACCATCTAGTAACTGGGGCAACAAGGTCCTGAGCGTTTTGCCTCACTGTAACAGTATTTTTTTATGTTTATTTACTTATTTTTGAGGGAGAGAAACGTAAGAGAGTGGCAGAGAGAAAGGGAGACAGAATCCCAGCACACAGCCTGACCCAGGGCTCAAACCCATGAACTGTGAGACCACGACCTGAGCCAAAACCAAGAGTCACTTAACTAGAAGTCACTTCACCAAGGATGTATAACTGACTACGCCACCCAGGCACCCCTCACTGTTATAGTATTATAAACATTTAGGAATCAAGTAAAGGTTAAATTACATTTGGAAATTTGGGTTTTAATCAAAAAGTCCTTTAAAGAGTAAGCTCTTTTTTGGGAACTTCAGATATCCAAATAGCCTACTAGTTAAAAATCCTAATAGAGGAAATTATGAATATTAATCTATTTAATATGCAATACAATATTAACACAGTATCAATAATATACCTTAAGAAACAGTACTAACTACTCCATCCCTCAGGTCTTCACTTGGAAAGACAAGGAAAATTCATTCTAATAAGGATGTGATACAGAAGAACCCTGCCTCAAAATGCACTAACAACTAAATATAAACATATATTCACATATAATGAATATGCATAAACACATGATTACAAATCCATTTGTCATTTCTTCTTATTTTCGGATTTTTCATTTATTGAGGTCAGAAAACATGAGTCTAACTCCAGGCACTATTCATTAACAATTTCACAAACCTATTAACACAAATATTTATTACTCATGAACTTTAGCACAAACTAAACAAAAATTTTACTACTTCAAATGCCGCTAGTGTGTAGGGTGATCTCTCTCACTCCACACACACACTTAAATACAAATAGACCTTTTTTCTAAAAAAAAAAAAAAAAAAATTTCAACGTGTCTGACAAAGAACCCAAACTGTATTGTCCCTTGCCAAAAACTTACTTTACAGCTTTGATAACAGATGACTAAATAAATACTAAATACACAGACATTTATATGTCAAAAAATACAGCAGAAGACAAGACCCCTGGAGCTGAGGTCTAGGCCCATTTGGCTTCAGTGTCTTCACCCGCACAAAACTGAAAATTCTGGTGAAACGGGGAGAGACCACTCTTAAAAAAGATAATTGTAACTCATTGTAATTCTGCCACCATTTAAGATCACCCCAATTTTTTTTAACCAGAAGTACCTCCACACAGGTTCTGAAATTTTGTATTAGTCACCAACGTTTTTAGTAGATGGCTCTAATTCAAAGAAAAGTAAAATAAGAAGTATTTCTGAACTGCATATCCATTTTATCACCTTAGACCTTGAAGTGGATATGTTCTTCTCATTTTCAATACAAATTTTTTTTTCTTAACAAAATCTGTTAAGCAAGCAGAACTGGCTTTTCCTTGACTACAAATACATGAATGTACAAATAATTTGACAAGAGACTTTTATTATCAAATAGAATTATGTCTAAAGATGTCTTCTTATCTTCAATATTTTACTAAAACCGTAAATATTCATGCCCTTTGATTCAGCAATCCCACTTTTAGAAATCTATACTACAGAAACACACACACACAAAGATACATGTGGAAGAATATTTACTGAAGTACTATTTATAATAGTGAAAAATGGAAAAAACTCAAAGACACCCATTAATATTACTGGTTACGTAGGGGCACCTGGGTGGCCCAGTCAGCTAAGAGTCCGACTCTCGACTTTGGCTCAGGTCATGATCTCACGGTTCACAAGATCAAGCCCCGCATCAGGCTCTGTGCTGACAGCATAGAGCCTGCTTGGGATTGTCTCTCTC